AATAACCTGTCACTGTCCTCTCTTCCATGTCCCACGTCTCAATAATCCCACTTACCATTGCCCTTTTATTCTATTCACTACGCACGTAAGTAAAATGAATGTTTTGAAAGTACATGAACTAAAATCGAGAGTACATGCACCAAAATAAATTTTAAATAGACAAATCAAAATAAACTTTTTTTTCTCCGATGCTAACTACTCTATTAGTACTCGCTATCTTTTATTTTTCTTGTTTATATGGGCATTTAGACATCTTAACCGCCACTGCTCATGCCTTAAATTGAAATAGTGAATAGAAATGTGATTTTATGAGTGAGTTAGCATCTAAGTTTATTCCAAAATCATAGATTTTTACCATATCAGCATTAAACTTTTAATTACATAAATTTCCTATAAAAATATGTAATTGTCAGTGTTACGTTGTCATTATAGTTTTAGTTGGGACTTAAAAAATATGCACATCACTTCCAAACCAACCACTGGAAAAGTTCTAATTACAACAATTTCGTAATTTTTTAATGTGATAATTACTTAAGTTGAAAGTTGGAAAGTTCAATATCACCGTCATGCTATTTTATATATCATTCTTCATTTAATAAATAAGCTTAACAACATTTGGGGAAGGGGTGCACAAATAATTGTCCATATTTAAAGGTAAAACCACCAAAAGGTTAATTGGTCAAAATATTGATTGGAACACACAAAGTCACATTGCAGCATTAATTTCCCCTCACTTTTCCTTTTTGACATTTATTTATCAACCAACATTAGGTAGTTGCCACTTTCTTCTCAACAATTTCTCTAAATCAGCAACTTTACCAATCCATTAAAATATATCTATCAAAACAAAAGCTTACTTAGTAAGATAAATTTTTAAAATGCAGTATAATTATATTAACCAATGTCGTTTGCATCTCTCCTCTTTTATTTATATATATATATTTCAAGTTTAAAAGAAGAAGCAAGTTTGGATTACTGTAAAATATATTCATGTGGGCTTTTTTTTATTATATGGTGTCAAATTGAAATTTAATACATGAAATATTGAAAGTAATTTGAAAGTCAAAACTCAATTAAATTGACTTCCGCTCACAGAAGCTATTCACAAATTTTGGTGCAAGAAGTACCTAGATTTTTATATATATGAATACAAATTTCTTTTATTTGAGGTGGGAGATAAAATAAGCAAATTGTTTATAAGATCTAAATTATAAATTAAGGAAATCATTTGATAATTGACTTCAATACATAACATTGTTAGAAAAAAAAAAAAACCTAAAAAATATATTTGTTTAGGTTTGAAAAATGGGTAATGGATCCATGTCACCAGTTTTTCCAACTCAACTAACTTAATATATGCTTTCTACGTGTTAGAATTGAAAAAACATCACCAATTTTTAAAGAATTATCAGTAATCTATTTCACATTCATTTTACTTTAACAAACATTTATTAGGTTGAAATAAGATTTGGATCCGTGCTCCGACGTCGACGAACACCTGTACGTACGAGAGAGTGCATGGTTCCGTTGAGACTAGCAAATAGTATGATTGTGTAGAACACAACTCATGCCCCGAGCTTCTGTTCTTGTTTATAAAAATAGTCTTCTTAAGTTGGGTCGGGCTTGGTCTGTAGGTAGTCTAGTCTTGGTCCGGTAGTCTAGGACGACAATTGACCAATTGATACTTCCTCGACCTTGGTTTAAGTGAACTTGAATTAGTACGATAATTTTAGCTATAACACATCACATATACATTTTTTCTCAATAACGTTAATATAAATATTTTTCTAATTAACAAAGCGAATATATTTCAGTGTTAATTGACATATATATCAAATTAAGAGGTTTTGAGTCCAAAACCTCGCTGTTGTATTAAAAAAATATTTTTTTAATCAAATTTCTTTTAATCCTAAAAGCAAACGTTTATTCACTCAACAAAATCTACTTTAAAACATATTATTTTCCTCCAAATGAGTCGATATTATAATAAATGAGTTTATACTAAAACCTTACAATAATATACGTGGGGCACCACGTTAACAATTTTCATTTGTAAATTTTCACTTTTTTTTATTTTTTATTTTTACTCTTAGAACTTGATTAAAAAAACTTAGTACGCATAAACCAGAAAACTTAAAAATTTAAATGGCCAAAAATATTTATGTAATCTTATGTAAAATGCCTAAAAAAATATAAAAATATTGTACACAAAATTTTACGTCATCTATCCTTAAATGATTGATATTTTTTTCTTTTAAACAAAAAAAACTTTAAATGATTGAAAAAACAAAAAGCAGAAATAATTATAAGTTCAAGTTGCATTTTTCATTGAAAAGACCATTAAAATCATTTATTGAATATGATATTGCTTTTTTCTTTTTTTCCTTTTGGTTGGAAGAAAAATTTATGTATTTTTCAATTCTATTAATTCGGTTAATTTTGCACATCATAACCATTTGGGACCGTATTCAAGTAAAATCTGGCACTTATAGTACTGTTGTTATTGTTTTTTTCCTCCGGTATATGTAGGGTGGGGTTCAAACTCAATTGAAGATATATGTCAATTATTGCGAGTCTAGGTTGTTCGATTCTCTGCTCTTATCATTATTAAACTTAAAAGAAAAAGAAAAATAAAAACTCTACGTTATAGAGCTTACTGGCACATATTTGAGCCGGGCCCTCCCCATGTTGTAGCCAAAAAAAAGAAAAATAGCTCATTTATTCCTCCATTGTCTTTTTATATATGTGTGGGGTTATATTGCTATCATTAGACAACGAGGAAATATCAAATTTGTAAGGAGTTTTCTGATGATATGATATTTAGCACAGAAAAATCATCCTGTGATAAAATATTTTGTAAAAATAACCTAAAGTACAGATTCGTAATCAATGAGGATATAAGTATATTAGTGAATTATTTCGTATTAAATATATCACAAATATATTTTTATGAATCACATAAAAATTACTATATCAATAATATACTAATTTGTATTATATTATATTTATATAATTAAGTTAGTGATATATTTCATACAAAAATAGTATGTAATACACTTTTATATTAGGTGTAACACTAACATACTTTATTAAGGATGGAAAAAATGTATATGATGATTCACCATATTTCTATCTTTCATATTTATAAATTATTATTAGTCACTCCCAAATATAGGAAAAAAAATTAGTAGATGGTTGAAAATATAACAATCAAAACGATCAATAATTGTGTAGGCATGAAAAAAAACAGTCGCGTGGATATATCCAATATAAAATATGCTAGTATTGATACTAAATATGTTACGCATATTTATATATTTAGAAGAAAGCATATCAATCACATTAAACATCCTTATTTTTATGTATGAGAAATTTTAAATATGTCAAATAATTTTAGTACTCATAATATTTTTCCAATTTTGAATATTTGTGGTCGAATGATTGTGTTCCTTTAATGCTATTTTAGCTTGTTGATCCTATGGAATAATTAATAAGTTTTTTATTTGGTTATTTTCAATTAACAAAAAGTCCAATTAAAAAGTCAAGATATGGAGTCAAATGATGTAGCTTTTCCCCTCCTCCATTTCTCTATTTTGAAACGAAAATGATGTACCTTTTAAGACCAAATAACACTATCTTAGTAAAGGTTCGATTATTTTATTAGGTACACGAAATTTTATTTAATAATTATTTTATAGTGTTTCATTTAAGGATTAGCCCTTTTGAATTTTTTTTTAAAATGAATATATTTATGCAAAGTCACAATAAAACATATTGCATGTATGATTTAAAAAAAAAAAAAAAAACCTGTGCGACTCATATTAGTAAATAAGTTGGAATAACTAATAGTGTTTTTTAATTGTTAAAATTACTCCCTCAATTATTGGTTTCTATGAAAATTTTATTACTTAACAAATACATGAAAAAAGTATCTAGATAATGTTAATACCATAAAAATATTACAATAAACGAAAATAAAATTTTTGACTTTAAGCTGACAACATCGAATAAGTCATATATATATCCAATTATGAGGTTAAGAATTTGAATGGACACCTCAACATATTAAAAAAAAATATTGCTTTTAACTTTAGGATCGGTTCATCTTGGTTTCTAAATTTCCAACATTAAACATTTTAAATTTCTGACAAGGACGAAAATTTGATTGGACTTTTTGAAATTTATTTTATTATATTGATATTTCTGTTCATGCATATCGTATAAAACCGAGAATGATGCCGGTCCGACGATTTTGTTTTAACCTCAAAATTTAAAACGGAAACGCAATCCATAGTGCGCTACGAGGAACGATTTATCGCGCGATATTGGAAACTACAAGGAGATTTTGAATTGTCGCTTGTGAGAGGACAGGAGCGTAACTAAGCAAGCTGGCAAGCAAACGCACGAGATCCAAGCGTGGGGCCTACTTCACGTGCAATCATACTTCTTCCATTGCGTGCAACGCAATCTCGCCACGCGTCCTCTATACACCAATTCTTCACTGTCATCTTCTTTTAATATGTTTTTCTAAATATAAATTCCTTTTATCGCTTTATTTATTATTTCCATTTGCGTTTAAAAAGAAGATAAAACAATAAAAATATATCCTATTGAAAATCTCGACTCTGTTAACTTTCTTCTTTATCCATCCAAGTCTCGAGTCGCGACAAAAACTGACTGCACCTATTTTATTCATCCCAAAAATGCCCTCCCCAGCCTGTTCCTAGTTCCTTGATCGAGCCAATAGTTAGGCTTCATCTTCTCCACACACGTGGCGGTCATCGGCGCCGTTGACAGAGGTGTCGGTTGATACCGACGAACCGTCCTCCACGGCTATTATGGGTGCGGATGCATTGAATCCACGCTCCAGAAATGCGAGCGTTTTGAGTGGATAATTGAATTATCCGACGTGTCATTTCCATGAAAATCGCAGGGTGTTTTCGGTAAATTCATACTTACAACTGCATAGTGAATAAAGCCTTATCCATTTCATCAGTATGTAACCCCTTCCCCATCCCAAAGCTTTATAAAAAGAGCTTAACAAAATCAACCCTAAATCAACAAAATTCTCCTCAGATTAGAGAAACCTGCGAAAATCCAATCGATCGAACGATCTTTTTCGCTATTAAAAAATTTCTTTAAAATAGCCAAACGTACGACGTTGCTCTATAACATACATAATCTTGATTGATCTCCATGGCGACCGGAAAAAGCTGTTACGGCCGCTCCAACTATCGGTTCCTCCCCGGCGGCCACCTCCACCACTCGTTCGCTTCCGACTCGTCGTTTGAACTCAGCGAATCTGACATCTACAACTCGGCGAGTTCGAAATCGCCGGAGATGCGGAGATCCGTGGCTCCGGGAGCGCGAATCTCGAAGAAACCGTCGCCGAAACGATCGGTGGAGTCGGGGGATTGGGGAGGCGCGCGCGGTGGTGGTGCTTCGTCGTTGCCGGTGAATATTCCGGATTGGTCGAAGATTCTGAAGGAGGAGTACAGAGAGAAAAGTAGGTGGGAATACGATGAGGATTCGGAGGGAGATGGGGATAGTGAGGATGGAATGAGAGTGCCGCCGCACGAGTTTTTGGCGAGGACGAGGATGGCATCTTTTTCGGTGCACGAAGGAATCGGGAGGACGTTGAAAGGGAGAGATCTGAGTAGGGTGAGAAATGCAATATGGGAAAAAACTGGGTTCCAGGACTGAGAACAAATTTTATTTTTAAAAAAGAAAACGACGACACGCGCATCAGAACTGACGACATGTAGTCTTAGGACGTAAATATTCTTCTGTACTGGGAACTGGGAAGGGTTCCGCTTCCGCCTCCGGATCGTCTTCTAATTCATGTTTTTTTTTTTTTTCGGATTTTTGGGGTTTTTGATTTAATTTTTCACGGTGGCCATATTGACGTTACTGGTGAGTAGCCCTCTGCGAACTTATGTTCCATTTTTATGGTTGTAGCATATAAATTATGTTATTATATGCAAATAAATATTTATCTTTTTCTTTATTTTTTTTTATTTTCGACATAAGTATTAATTCCTCTTCTTCTCTGTTTCTCTGGACGTAACGTAATCGAGTAGGTCATAGAGGAGGGTGTGATACTTTATGCCAAGAAAAATGGAAATACGTGGGTCCTTCGGTAAATGATTGATTTGCTTTGGACTTTTTTTTTTTATTTCTTTTTATGTTATTTTATGACATATTGGTGGGGAAGATTTAGGTAGCTAGCCTCGAATATTTTTTTTAGGTCGAGTCGAGTTTAGCATATTTTTTATTTAAATAATTTTTTTGATAATTTTTTACAAGTAATTATATTTATATTTCAACAGACTAAATTATAAGAATCTCAATCACTCAATCACTCAATAATAATAATAATAATAATAATAACTTTTTTAATAATCATTTATAGAGTGTCCATATATAGTTTTAAAATAACCTAATTTTTATTAACATGAACTTAGTTCAACTATGATTAAAAAATCATTAATTTAAATCTCTCATCCCAATTATTATACTCAACAAAAAGAAACTTAATTTGTGGAAATGTTATAATGTTTTTATCAAATATGTAGATTTTTTAAATAGTATTTTTAGTTATTTCTAATCACTTTAATTATACTTAAGAGATTCTAAATTAATGATTTTTTTAATGTCCCTAGAAAAAGTAATTCTATTTAAAAAAATATTTTTTTTCATATCATTCTAAACACACATGATTATATGTTTAGTTGCTAAACTTTGATGCAGCTTTATCTACTTAACCCCCATGCACTAAAAAAAACCAACATGCCCCCACAACTTTAAATTTCATGTCTGTAATCCATTGAAGTTTACTCCATTTCAAACTTGCATTTCCATTTTGAACCTTTCATGCAAGAGGCATAATTACTACATAGATTTATTGGGCAAAATTTTTTTTTGAAAATTTATAGACTTGTTAACGGCGTATTTACAACCTTAAAATTTCATAAAACTCTTTGAAAAAATCAAGTATAAAGGTTAAATAGACATAGCTGAAAAGTTAAAGGTCAATATTTCAGTGCTAACTAGCATCTAGGTCTACTAAGCTTCTCGAGTTTGAAGATTCAAACTCTTATTCTTCCAATTTACTAAAAAATTCAAAAAAGTTAAAAAGAAGGATCTAGACTCTAATTTAATTAGAAAAAGAAAGGAAAGAAAAATTTAAATCCAACTTGGAGTGGCCATATTTATAAATAATAATTTACAAAAACAGTCTCCAATTTCTGGGCCCAAAACGAAAACGGGTAATATGGTCATAAAATAATTAACATTGGCCAGAAAGCAACTGGTGGGTAAATTTGGACCATGAGGCGCTATTTTATTGTATTGGTGGGGCCACCGAGTGGGACCAAAGTTTTATCCAATTCCGGTGGTATGGTGCACCTGAAATGTTATTGGCACACGTAGTATTTGTTCGTGAAGGATTCACTTGACTATATATATATTTTTCATTTTTCGACCTCCAAACCAATGCAAGTCAGATTTAATATTTGTCTTTAGTAAAAGATTTTAAATGCACCAAATAATATAAATAATTATAATGTTTGAATTACATTTATGCCTTTTTTCTTTTTCAATCAATTTTCCCTCATCTTTTAACGTGTCTATTTTAACATTAGTTATTAAATTTTATTTGATTGTCCTCTACAATTAAAATATTAAAAAATCTTAACTTATGTGACTTCAATACATGCCCACATCATCGTATCGATTATGAAGTACATTTGATGTCGTATCAAATCCCTACGCAAACACATGGTTTAGAGTACATTCATGATCAACAACCAAGAAAGGTGGAAGAGAATCCAATCGGACTAAGTCTAGGGCCAAGCACACTGGATGAAGGTACATCTTTGTAGCGTAAGAGGCAACATCAGATTGTTAGTCGGCCCAAGTCCTCAGTGCGTGTGTCTTTCTCCCTCCCTCCATTTAAAAGAAACAAATATATATATATATATATATATTTAGAAAAATTCAAGTGCTCCATACTCTATCGCACCTATCCAAGTTATAACTTAGTTTATCAAAATGCCCTTAGTAGAGCACCATATTTATGTGCATAGATTTAACTAGAGCTTGAAGGTAAAGACATACGTGGAACTTGCATGATACACCTACATGATACTTGTCCAAAARTCGATATCATCAATATCAATACTCATGTTGCCGTACTTTATTCACCCGTTAAAAAATTAATGTGAAGGTTATGCTGGGAAATAAAATGGTCATATTTAAAAAGTTAATGACTAAAATTTACAATTAGGATGAAAATGGAATGAAACTAGTTTTAACCATTGGCAAGGAAGTACATTGTTACCACCATTAAATTTGATTTTCTGAATTTCCTACTTAATTAAATGGGTTGAAAAGGTGAGGATTTTGGAAAATTGGTGAGACATTGATCTCCATTTTTGCTACTCCCCAAAGTCTCAAACACTCTAGTTAGGGCTACTTTTCTCGTTTATCCAATTTCTTTCTCTCTTATTTTATATTCTTTTTCATCCTCTAAAATAGCAATATTTACGTTTTTCAAAAGAGGACATGGTTAAAGTGTAAAAAACATCAATTAGTTGATATTCTTTAGCCTTAAATTCATAGTAGTGTAAAGTATGGCTTTATAAAACTAATAACTAAGATGAATTATTGGATTGTGAACCTAACACCCAAAAGAAAGAAAGTTGATTATTGGAAGAGCTACAAAGATTTGAACAAAAATGAAAAAGAGAATTAAGAGGAAAGCAATCTTGAGAAGATTGGATAGAGGAGAGGTGTGTTGAAACCCAAGTAGAATAAATATAATTGGTACATGAGAAAACCCCAAAACTGAAAGGCCAAAGCTTTATCTTCTGTGGGATGGAGAAACTGCCTAAACAAAAAATGGCCCTTTCCCCCACCTAAAGGCCATCAATCACAACAAGGATTATATTTCAATAAACAATATGGTGAATTATATTTCAATTATCTGTCACATTCTTTCAATAATTCCCTTCTAATATATAGCTAACATTCAAGTGGACCTCATGAATACTAAAACCATAATAATTTCCCTTCCATTGAATTTTACCATTCAAGTCAAAAATCATTTCMCACTTGTAAATATTCATAATTCAATCTGATTGTATGTGTCTCTATTTGAACCTCTCGCCATCGTTTTGGATTAAAAAGAACTTCATATGTAACCACTTTTTTCATATCTTCCCAAAGAATCGTTTAACTGAAAACTTATTATATTTACCTGAGCTTATTATTTAACTATATCAAATGTTTCAGTAAAAATCTAATTGCTCTTGGAAATTGTGAAGAAACAGAAACAACATACAAATAGAGGTAAGTACTCCCTGTTCTTGTCGGTCTCAATTCAAAGTATTACGATTAGGAGGAGTGAACTTAGATATTTATAGGTGTTTGGTGGTGGAAATGAAACACCTATAAATCTACACTCAATCACTCTACAAATCTACACGAATATTACAGATAATTTAATAAACGTAATAATGAAGAGTTTAGCGGTTGTGCCAACGATTGACTGTTAGCTTCAAACTGACCGAACTCGTTCATTGGACTCTGATGTTGAGCCATTGGTTGGCTTGGATATGTCTAAGGTATTCAACTTGACACGTTAGCAACACTTACTTTGACATGTGGAATCTCGTGATTCATCCTCCAACATCAAATTTACTACTTTATAGTTTATACCTTAACTCTGTTTAATTTATTTTTAAAAAGAAATAACTGTTTATCTTTTCTATAATTTAAGTAATTAATTGCATTTTATTTTGACCGATGAGGGTTAAATCGGAGTAGCTCTAGCCTCTGGGGTTTGAAGGCGTGGGCCTGTCACATATTGGCCCAAATAGCTTTCTTTTGGGCTGAAAATATTCCCTTTCGCTCTTTCGCATCAACAGGCCCAATGAATTATTTGCTGCCATCCCTCAACTACAGAAATCATCAGAAATTGCTAACGTTAAATGGGTAGTATATCTGACAGTCGTGTTTCGCTTAGTCTTTCATTTGATTTGATATTAATTTATTTTCTAAACTGTTGAATAGATCCCTAAACTTTGAAACACAAAAAGTATCTATTTGATTTTTGGTGGATTTTTGAATTTTAAATATGTCAAATATGTTCTTGAACTTCCAATTTTATATCTAATAGGTACATAACATGTTTCATATTTTAAAAATTAAATGAATTTATTAAACATAAAATTGAATTGAATTGGTTTTATGTAATAGATTTAAAACTTTCAATTTTGTATTTAGCAAATTTGTGATTTTTTAGAAAATGTCAACTAACTAAAAGCACTAGTCAAACACAAAATCGAACATTTATAAAATTATTAACTTAAATAAAGACCTATTAAAAGTTTTAAAAAGCCATATTTGTAAACCGCTCCAAATTTAAAAAATATTTCAACCATTGGCTTCTTGTCTCCCACCCAAATTTCTCTTTTAATATTTTGCACTTTTTTAAAGAAAAAAAAGTACACCTCAATATCTCCACTTGAGTAAATGCTCTTCAATTTCATAAAATAGGAAATTTCCCAGTCAAATTTGTTCTAATTATTTAATTATATATGACTGACAATGTAATAGTTAAATAATATATTTTGATGATGCATGATTATTATATTGTATAAAAGTATGTCACATAGTTTTAAGTTCTTACCATAGATTAATGTATGGAACCTTAGTCCAGTACTACAGGGACCCGAAAGCCAGGTAATAAAAAAGCTCATGTTGTGGACATCTCTTATCCGTCATGAGTGATTTTTGAAAGTAGGCCGCTAGAGCTAGATGGAGCACAAGAAGGAGACGACGTGGTGGTTGAATCGATTAGAGCAAACAAAGGTAAAAAAGTCGTAAGTTTTATGGTAAGATCTAATGAAATAGCTAGAGATTTTGAATGTTATATATTTGAATCAAGATTATAATCTCCTCACCAAAGAATGCTATTCAGTGTCGCTACCTTTGCTGTCGCGCTTTTCCGATTGGGGTTGTGGATTGTCAAATACAAGATCAAGAAAAGAGACCGCAAATTTTTGGAGCCTTTTCAGGGGGGAGCCGGAGCTTGATATAGAATTTCAATGCACTTTTTAGCACACTCCTACCTTTATGGCTAAACTCTCTATTGACGCGCTTGGATAAAATGATACTTATTTTCTTGATACCCGAGAAGGATTCGTCTATTGATGGGATCATGGAAGACTATTGACGAATCTAAGAGTTCTCTTTTGTCTCCATTAGCATGATTTTAAGAGTTTTTATAAGGATTTGGACATGATACACCCTCTTCCATACAAATGAAAATGTTGTCTTCATTTATATACCATGAAATTTCTCTTATCTAGTTAATGTGAAACTTTGACGGTATTAAAAAAACAAAACAAAAAAATTATTTTTGAAGAAAAAATACACTCACAAAGAACTATCTCAATAACTTGATGCGAACATGAATGCAACTCAACCATTGATGTATTAATTTTAAATCCAAAGCTTTACGACTGTAATGTTATATTTTGAAAAAAGAAAAAAGGAAAAGAAAGCTAGGATCCCAATATTAATTTCTTTTAACTATAATAATTGAGACTTTAATTGAGTAAATACAAAACAATATTAAAAGAAAAGAGGGTGGAGTTTGACCTAAAATGAAGTATATCTATCAATTAAGCTATGATTTAAAAGTTGAATAATATGCGTGAGTTTCCTTTTTGTTTGTCCCTCTTTTGGTCACAAGTTATTACCTTTGTCTCCACTCCTTTCATTTCTATCCTTTTTGACAATCCACATGTGAAATGGTTGCACCCAATTTAATCCATCTTTAAATATTCCAATGCTTACATACCCAACACCATATATTATTTCCCAAAGGCATCCAATGTGAATGCATTACAATTCTAGATATCTTATATATAACTTTTCTTGTTTTTTATTTTTATTATTTACCAAATTCCATTCAATGCTTTGGATGACAATAAATGAGGGAAACCTCATTTCCATAACTTATATTATTCATACAAATTAACTCCACAGTGTCATTTTCGTCAATTCAGTTGGTCAACAATTTCATTAATTTTGAAATAAAGTTTTGTTTTGCTTCGCATTTATTTAAAGTTATTTCCATAATTACCCCCTATTGAATGATTATTTTTTAAACAAGTGGTCGGAATATTGTGGGTAATTTGGTAATAGAGTGTTGGAGGTCCAAGATTATTTCGAGTCTTTGACCAATGTATGATCGTGATTGTTGTCATTTTGACTTATTATGATAAGTGTAATATTTGATGGTCTCATTATTAATTTTCCCACTCTATTTCTTTGTTTTGGTTATTGGGTCACCAACCCCAAATGATGGCTCCTCCAAAACCACTGCTTCAAAATTGAATCTTTTTATTTTTAATTGCATTTTCTAATTTAAAATACCACAAAAGAAAAAAAAAACTCAATAAAATTTATTTCTTTCTAAGTAGCAACATTATTGGTTTCATCCAATAAGTCTCATTTAAATTGTTTTAGGTAAAAACATAAATATAGTTATCTAATATCAATTAAAGAAAGCTTAATAAAATGATTATGTGTGTCTTCAACTTCACTCGTTGGTGTAATATGAGGTGAGATTGAAGATTGATTATTCATCCATTATTCATGGCTTAGAGATATGATGTAGTATATATATATATATATATATATATATATATATATATATATATATTTATATGAGGTAGTGGGGGAGGTATCAACATAACATCATATAAAATGTAAATTAATTCTTTTATAATTTTAAAGTAATAATGTAGTTCCTTAATTCAAAAATTAACAAATATTTAATAGATGTCGATAGATTTAATTTTAGATGATAAAATCTTTCCTATACCCTCAACTATAAGACCCCTTGCGAATCTGATATAGAGTGGAAACTACTCCAGACTTAAATAATTTTTCAACCATACTATATCCTAACCTCATCAAAATAAGAGTATGTCATATCCGACGAGACGACAAGATATCCTTTCAAAGACTCAGAGAAATCGCTCATTGCCCATTAGCTGTGTCGCGAACTCGTTGCCCTCACACTATCCAACCATTCTACGAAGCTTGCAAGCAGACATCCACCACGCAAAAGCGTCTGGACGACGTGACAAACATGGTCCCATTGTCCTGCTTAGTCTCTCACCATCTATGAAGCTTGCATTTACATATCTATTATCAAAGCATCTAGAATATACGACAAACATGGATCATGGGTAATGAACCTCCAACCATACACAATTATATAAGGAGAGCCCACCCTCCAATGGAAGACTAAATTCACACCCGAGTTACTTTTCATTTGCTCTTACTTTTTTCTAATTTGATCACCGAAGTGCCATAAAGCTAACATTTCACTGATGACCATCTAACTCTATAGTTTCATTTTATTTTTTTTTCCAAAACCATGTTTATAAGTAATATTTCTCGATAGTGAATTTCTAGCTTCTAAAATAACATCGTCTTATTTATAAATCTTTGGTGCACATGAGATAAACAAATTAAAAGGTCCCTAGGATCCTTGCATTTAATACATTTTGTTGGAAATATTAAAAAGAACGTTTAAAAATCATTAATTATAGAGCCTTAATTATAATAAACAAGATAATTAGTCAAGCATTGATTAGTATTTAGTTGATTAAAATGAATATTAATTTTATCTCAGAAAAGATCAAATCCCCAATCCCATGCAGGTGAAGCTTCAGTTGACTCAGAGCAACAATAAATTCCCAATCGCAACTTTCTCTAAAATGAAATTCCAATTACCAATTACTCACAAATTTACTTCAGTCTCTCTCTGGCCCATGACATCCTTCAACTCTCCGGCCACCACTGCGGCGGTCCTTTTCCTTCTTCCTTCTTCCGGCCACCGTCAGTAGAGACGAGTAGGAAATTGAGCGGCTGAAATCGGCGGCGAAATGTACAAGAACCAGCTCCAAGAGTTGGCCCAGAGGAGTTGCTTCAATCTTCCTTCTTATTCCTCTGTTAGGGAAGGCCCTGACCATGCTCCGAGGTTCAAGGCCTCCGTTAACTTTAACGGCGAGATCTTCGAAAGCCCTAACCATTGCGCCACTCTCCGTCAGGCTGAACACTCCGCGGCCGAGGTTGCTCTCAATTCCCTCGCTAATCGCGGCCCTTCGCACTCGCTCGCCGCTCGGATCCTGGTGCGTATTCTCGCCATTCATCTTTACAATTCAATTCCCGCCGCTATTGTTGCTACTGTTTGCTTGATTTCGCTCTCGTTGTCGTCTTCATCATTTTTCCTCAATGATCAATCGCTATTGCGTACTTGAATCTAGATGCGTCGTAGAACTTCGCATTACTTTGATTTTTTCCTCTTGAGTTCCCTTTCTCGTTTCCCTAGACAATCTTTAAACCTGTGATCGCTGTCCAAAATCTGATTGGAATTTCGCTATTGTGCGCTGCATAAGTTGATAGTCTTCAATCCTGTAGTATCGAGTTCACAGTATGCGGCGGTGATCGCCTGAACGTTTCGGCTTGCGACCTCTATCGGCCGGAATGGAGTCGGCGATGAAGATAATTTGTTCTGGTCTGGGAGCGAAATTACATTAGTACCCTTACCATCTTTCCTTTTATTATACCTTTCCTTTAATGGCTCAGCAGATTCCCAACGCAGTTGCTTTTTTCTGACGAAGCCGACGACCGTAGCCTTAAATTCGATGAACAGAGGATATTTTAGGAAACTTTCTGACGGAAGCCCTTAAGATCGCTGGATAACTGGGTTTGTTTTGTCGTTATCGATATCACTGCTGGACCAGTTGCGTACGGGTTTCTTTAGGGGGATGGTTGGTGATATTAAATTTGCTTGATGCAGGGTACTCAGTTGCCGAAATTTTAGTTTTGCAGCTTAAATTACTGAAAATTAGAGTGGAAGTAAATGAAGAAGTTAATTCTTAACTTGTCCAAGTGGCTATTTTGTTCTTCTTTTGGCAAGAACATGGCTCGAGCTTGTCAAACAGTATACAAACTGAGGGCTGTCGAAGTATATCTATGATACCGATTCTGCAGAGAGTAGTTTTGTCTTGCTCTCTTGCTGTATATCTTTGCTTCCAAAATGTACTTTCATACATGTAATATAGGCAAATTGTTGGTCTTTTTTCTGAACGCTAGATCAGAATTTTTGGTTTAGTGACTAAACAACATCATAATGGTCAGGATGAGACAGGGGTTTACAAGAACCTCTTGCAGGAAATTGCCCAAAGAGTCGGGGCTCCATTGCCGCAGTACACAACAGTCCGGTCGGGACTTGGCCATCTGCCTGTTTTTACTGGGTCGATAGAATTGGCTGGAATCACCTTCACTGGGGAACCTGCCAAGAACAAAAAGCAGGCAGAGAAGAATGCAGCCTTGGCAGCTTGGTCATCTTTAAAACAATGTGAGTTTATTTTTCTAATTTTTGTTTCTGAAAAATATAAGTCCATAATGTATTTGAAAGAAGACGTTGACATCGGGTGCTCATTAGTATATCTTAACTGTCCTTAAGCACGTGGATAACGTAGTAACCCTGTTTTCTCTATCCAGTGGCAAAAGAAGCGGCGAGTTCATCAGAAGCTGAAAGCAGTGATGACCCGGAGCAAGTTGTGATAGCTCGGGCATTATTGAATTATCGTTTAATGGAGAAGATGTTCAGGACTAACCCGAATGCTCCAATGCCATTCCCAAAAAAGCTTTCATTTCAAAGTCCAAGGGCAGCTAGTCCACAACCTCCCCCTGCAACCACATCGAAAATTCTTCCTTTCATTTGCAAAAAGCCGGTTCCTCGAAGCAGACTACCACCAACAGAAAACAACAGCCCTGCGCTACCATCACAGCCTCCTACAGCATGTGGGAGTCATCCTCAGAAGTTCCCTGCACCAGGAGCAGTTCCTTATGTTCCAATTCGACATTATAGGATGCCCTGTCGGGGAATCGTACCACCTGTGACTATAAGGACTGCTGTGCCTGTTTACTCTGCACCGCCATTCCCACAACCACCCAAGGTACCCTCACAGATGCGAGCTGCCCCACCCATTCGAATGGCCCCACCGGTTTTGATTAGGCAAGCTATTCCAGTTTTTGCAACTCCTCCACCATTTACGAGAAAAGAACTCCCTGCTCTTCACAAAGGAGATTCACTCACTGTCCTTAAAGAAGATCCTCCAACCATTGCAACAGAGGATTCTGCTGATACCCTGAAAGCATCAGATCATTCAGCTACTTCCGCTTCCGCCCCAGTCTCACTCGCAGCATCTTCTAATCAAGCACAGGAAACTCAGAACACAAATGCAATCAATTTGGACGAGACCGAAACAGTTCAGAATCTGAAACAACTCAAAATTCAATAGACTGTCAAGTTCATTGGATATACTATATACTGTGACAATCTCAAATCATCTTATGTTATTAGACTAATGCTTTTATTTTAGTCTCCTTTTTTATGTCTCGACAGTTTTGCCTTTGCCATATATGACCAATAGTTAGCTCCGAGGTAAACGAGTGAGCAAAATTTCCTTGCAATCGGCTCTACAACGGCAGTAATGCTAAGTGTGAAGTCCTGCATCTTTTGCCATTTACCAAAAGATTTTTGAGTCATCAATTCACAAGATCTCAATCCCCTTGGTATTGCAGGTTTACAAAACTGAGGCACGGATTAGAATTGTTGAAAATGATAAGTGGATTGGGCTCCATATCTTCCAGGTAAATTATTTTCAATTTTATATTGTTTCTTCATCTCTTCTCCATCTTTAGATTCTTCTATTGGGTGTGTAGAAGACGCAGAACAAAGGGTCTTTAATTCCTTAAACACAAAATATTAATTATTAGAAAATACAAAATCATGGAATCAACCAGGAAATACAATGAAACAGATTAATGGATGATTGGACTGTCAGAAAATAAGGTCAAGATTTGCATATTCTTTAGACGTATTCTGTCGTAATGATCGATAATATGACGAAGAAGAAGTCAAAAAAATGGTCGAAAGTTGTCTTGAAGAAGAGAGCGAGTGGTGTGACAGGAATTAGGCATATGGATTTTCATTTTCCATCCCAGAAGAGAAAAACACAATTATTTCACCCTCCAAATCATAATTGTAAATATTCAAATCCTTGAATATTGACCTCGTTTTAGTGGGCTATGATCATGTTTTACCAGTTTTTGTTTTTTTATGTTTTCTTCTCAATTTATTCTTTTATTTGCGTTTTGATTGGATATCATTGTATCACTTTTTCTCTGTAGCTCTCATTTTTTTTTCTTCCCAACTAATTGTAGGAGAAGAGGACTGAGAATAAAATAAAGGAGGCAGCAGAACACTGTGATAGTAATATAGGAGTAGATTTTCAAACATGAAAATGTGAGAAATATATTTTTAAGGGTAGAAAGATGACAAATAGAAGATATATGAAATTTTGGGATTTTAACTAAATTGATAGGGTCTTTATGTAAAAAAATAATTGTTAAAACAGAGTCATAAATCAGACTTTATATTATATTGTAAGGTATAGAAAATAATTAAGCAGAGGAGAAAACCAATAGGCCCCAAATTGATAGATTTTGTTTCGGTTTGCTTTTTCTCTCTCTTTTTCTTTTTAGTTTTGTTTAATTATTAAATAAATTGTCTAACTATGTTATGAGCGAAAGTTCAAATCTTCCTACCGTAATAAAGATATATTAAATAACTTAACCATTCAATCAATAATTCATTAAGTTTAATGACGCAAGCATTTTTCCCTGGACTTTTGAAATTTGTTTTTGTGATATACTTCATAAACCTGACATTAACTCCAAAAACTTTAAACTATCAACTTAATCATTCATATAATTTGTCATTAAAATCAGTATTAAAAAGCAAAACAATAAAGCGAATAGTAATAAATAGCCTAACTGTGACCCACACGATGGGAATATAGAGCCAATACATGAATCAAGAAAATGGGATTTCAAATTTCAAGTGTCATATCAAATTCGGTGGAAAAAAATTTGACACGAAATACCCTTTTTGTACTATTGTTGAAGACATGCCGATTGCAATTGCCATGCCTTACCAATAAGATAAAATTTTCAAACAGCCATTTTTTTTTCCTTTTACCAACGTGTTTAAAATGCAGAGCAATGGGAGATTTTTTAGTGGCCGGCTGCGGCTAATATCCTTTGGATTCTTTTAAAAGAAATTCTACTTTTTTCCAAACTTAACAGTAAAACTGTAAAAGATTGCTGCTTTGAATTATATTAACTAAATGGAAAAATCTGCTGAGGTTGCCACTGCCAGAGTGTTAATCAGGTGAGGCAACATCCAAAATGGTTGTTCGGTCTTTGTTTTTTTCTCTATTTTCGTCTCTAAATCATTTTCAATTAAAGGAAAATAGATAAATAAAGGGACGGGAGTATGAATTCCTTGCAGATAAAGTCTTTTTTTCCCCTACCATAATAGGTAGCTTTTTAATTGCATTGAAAGAATAATTTCAATTTGTTGTGTGTTAATATAAAAGAAGATAAGTAAGTTTCACAATACATTGTTCTATATTAAACACTTATTTCAAAAGTCATTCAAAGCTCATACTTAGGAATGTAATTAGGATAGAAAAAACATGTTTTGACTTCCTCGTTAAAAACATTGCTCCCAAAAGTTATCTCACACTGATTCCTTGTTTGAGTATTGAAAAATATCCATCACGTCTCAACTTAACAAGGAAGAAAAGAGAAAGGGGTCGGAGAAAAAGAGAAAGAACGTGGTGTTAAAATTGAGGGGAAAAGGTAAAGGGCAAGAATATGTAGGATGGAGAGCTAAATGAGAATGGGTTTGTTTAATTTGGTTGAGCAATACCCCTAACCACCAATGACCTAACTCTCCCATCTCTATCCATTTGCATTTGGGTATTGATTTTTACCTTTTATGGTGAAAACAATAGAGCCTAAAAAAGACCCATATGAATATGATACCAATTGGCAATTTCTTTATAGAGCCATAGAAGGAAAAAAAAAGGGAAGAAAAAAGATGATCAAGTGTGGCAAAGAAGCAAAGTTAGAGGAGTGGGGC